AGTAGTTACTAGGTACATAAAGGAGGTGTGGCATTTTGCTAAAAAGGCCATTATAGTGTCTTGGATCCATAAGGGAAAGTGACATCCCAAAATGCACTCCACATGCTATGGATATGGGGAAATTTGGCCTTTCCTTTCACCATTGAGAAAAAGGAAGTTCTGTGGAAGGCAAAGACTGGGAAGCTTGAGCTAATTATTGATGGCATTGATTTTAACATACTAGATTCGGTGAAAATCCTTCCTTATATACCTTTAGTACATATTTACTTTTGGCATGCCCGATTCTATTTCTGACACTAGATTTTACTTTCTTACTTTATCATATTGTAAAAGGGAAACACATATGCTTGTATAGGGATGAAAATATATATTGGATTAGAAAATTCACTACCACAACAGAAACCATTGCAGAGACTGCTGGCATTTCCCTGGAAATAGTTTATGTGGGAAAGAACAATGACAAGGAGCGAGTGAGAAAGATCACACAAATAATCACTGACAAGCAACTTAGTTACTGCTGGCCTAATGCAACATCTGTATGGTTCTATTGGGGGCACCTAGAAAGCATGTTGTACTTGAAAATGCACCATGGCAAGATTGTTGAAAATGACCATATAATGTAGGAGGTAGTGACAATACTTAGCTATGACGGCAACTATCAAGGGTGGGCTATATTCTAGATGGGAACTGAGATGACTAAAGCCAAGGGGAACACCACTCTAAAATGCATGCTGAGCTTTAAGGATTGGCAAAATGAGGCTAGAGAGCATGGGTTTATGCATGCCTTAGCCACTAACCTGAAAACTCTATCTAGCCCACATCACTGTAATTGCTTGATCCTTCTTGGTATCAAATGAGGGAATTCTAGAGAAGGTGGTTTGTGTAGAGTGTGGTCGTCAAATGGAGATGTACTTCATGTACCGCTACTACATTGATTAAGAGGAAGCTAAGAGCATGACATAGAATAAGGAAAGCACTTGGGATTTTTAAATTCTTAAGAATATTTGGTGTTTGTGGTATGATGTGTAGGACTCTTTGTACCATCTTGGTAGTAAAGAGTCTAGAAGTACCAGTCAAAGTTTGTTTGCGCGTAATATGTATTTGTTTGAAGGTTATATAGATGCCTGAATTGCTATCTCTTCACCTCTCTCAAATGAGACTTTTTTTTTCATGGAGCACTAAAAAAAGAAAAAAAAAGAACCGTGTAATGTATTGTTCTAATTAAGGAATTCTACCAATTTTGTCCTCCTAAAGCTTCAAAACATATCAATTCCAAACTGGGGCAACAACTAGCTATATAATAACATACCAATTAACATAGCTTTTTTTTAATTTTTTTAATTTTTTAATTGTTTTAAATTAAAAAATAAAAATAATAGTAAATAATAAAAGGGTTTTGCAGAAACGCATACTATTACCGAAGTAGGAGAAGATGATGAAAAAAGATTGCAGGCTTTTTCAAGGCTGAGTTACTTTTTCACATTAATTTGGATGAAAATACGTACAAGGGAAGCAGACCAATCCTCCAACTAGATTGGTCATGAAAAATGTTAAAACAAAGGCAAGGATTGTTGTAAGATTATTGTATATTTTTTTATCATTTATGTGGCCTCACATGATTAGAAAATTTATCACAAGACAAGGGGATAGATACAAGGGATGATCAGAAAAGTATAACCAAAGCCAAAGAAAATTTTCAAAATGCCTCAAAGAAAATGTATATTAATTGAATCTATGATATTTCATGATAGCTTCAAAGAGGTTTATAGACCAGCTGAGCTAAGACCTTAATTACTCTTGGCAATGGCTTCACTGTAGGGTATTTGTCAACTAGTTTTTTATCAAGCTATTATAGAACAAATTGAAGTAGCTTTGATTATGATAATAGTGGAATTATGGTTTTGAGCCCTAGATAGAATATGAAATTATAATCAACAACTAATGGAAATTAAGAATGTAATCTCTTACAAATTATGGAGACTTAATTGAAAAATTGGACCATATCTGTTAAGGACTCAAGATAAATTAACAACATTAAAGATAAGAGAGACTTGCATTGCAGGGAAATTAATAGATGTTGTGATGAGCCAATTAGCCCTCCAGCAGAAAGACATGACTCGTGCAACTTTGAAAATCAGACATATTAGTCATACCTTTATAATCCACCAAATAAAGTAGGCAATAGCATATTAGTGAAGCTAAAGCAAGGAGCCAAATCTCTCACCAAACTTGCTCTTTTACTCGTTTTGCTTTTTTCTCTGTCACTCATTCTTTTTGTCAAGATATTTCTTCATTACCATATATTAATATGGCTTGTTATTTACACACTGAATTAAAGGTGCAGCAATGTAATACCCAAGGATTTCTTACTTAAGATTTAAATAAATTATTTAATCTCTTAAAGGGTGTATATGTAATAAGATTAAATTTGGGGTTAAAATTATAATGAGATGAGGAACTCAAGGACTAAACCTTATAATTAAAGCTTAGGGACTAAGTAGCAAAATTTCCTTTTTGAAAAGAAACCCAAAACAGATTTGGTAGTTTCTGTTGGTTTTTTTTTTTTTTTTCACAAAGAAATGGAGAGCAAAATCGAGAGGAAGATGAAGAGCAGAGCATAAACTAAAATGGAGAGAAGTATGTGACTTCAACTCAATTTTTATCATTAACAAACTCTCCTATATATAGGAGAAAACAAACAATTCAAAATTCAAATATATTCTAAATTAAAATAAAAGTACATTTGAAATTTAAGCAAATAATTAACAAGTACTTTTACCGCATGCTTGTTGTTACTCTACAGCCACTTTGCAGCCTTTCATTTCAGATGCATTTCATTTGTTGTTCTTTACAGCTTCATTTCATCAACATTTGCTGCTTAGCTTGCTCACATTTTTGCTGCCATTTGACAACCTCATTTTCATTAGATTTGCAGCTAAATTGCTACCATATTTGCTGTCAAATTGCAACTTCATTTGCTTTCAATTTCCAGCCTCATTGCTACCATTTCATAGCAGTTTCATTTCATCATTTTTGCAAATTTAAATGCCACATTTCTAACAATAATTCCAACACTCCTCGTTGGCATCAAAGCTGCAAAACCAAAAACATAAATAGATTTATACCTAAGCACTTGGGATCAGCCCTTTGTTGTCCATCTTGTGCTTGGTCTTCACCATTTTTTCTTTTCATCATAGCCATGTACCATCCTTCTCAAATAACCTCAGCTCCTCCTTCATTACAGCTTTCCTTCTTTGGATTTTGCTGCCTCAAACAAATTTTGGAGGTTTTGCAACTAAGTTTCCTTTTTTTGAGTAAATAAAAATAAGGAATTGGTACCTCAAAGTGCTGCTTCATCATCTTTTTTCATCTTCTACAGCTTCCTTGGGCTAAGGATTTGGCTACTCGGTCATGAAAAAATGACTTGATGCAATTTTGAGTACTCTCTTAGTCTCAATCTGCATCTTTACAAGCCATCCTTGCCTTTTTTGGAGTAATGCTGTAGCATAAAAACACCACCCATACCAACAACATAAAACACCATCAAACCAGCATCTTTTGCATGATATTTCTTGTGAATCTTCTGCCTCAATAAGATAAGGACGTCAAGTTAATCTTCAACTTCATAGCTTCACATACTCTCTTCTGCCTTAACAAATTGGTTGCATCCTTTTGTCAACCACTTCCAAAGATTGAAGGACCTAGAGTTAACCTTCATCATCACAGCATCTTTACTGCATTTTTGGTCAAAGGAGTTTGCTGTGTTGGGTAGAAAAAAATAGGTATTTTGAAAGAAAACACTTGCTGGTAGCCATTTGGGTTTGGTCGGAGTTTGTGGTGGTCTATTTCCCTCAAATCTCTCTCACACAGGCCTTCAAAGATCATGAAAGGCTCTAATACCATGTTGGCTTTTTTTTTTTTTTTCACAAAAATAAAGAGAGCAAATTGGGAGGAAGATGAAGAGCAAAGCATAAACTAAAATGGAGAGAAGTATATGACTTCAACTCAATTTTTCTCATTAACAAACTCTCCTATATATAGGAGAAAACAAACAATTCAAAATTCAAATCTATTCTACGTTAAAATAAAAGTACATTTGAAATTTAAACAAATAATTAATAGCTACTTTTGCCACATTCTTACTGTTACTCTGCAGCCACTTTGCAACCTTTCATTTCAGATGCAATTCATTTGCTGTTCTTTACAACTTCATTTCATCAACATTTGCTACTTAGCTTGCTCACATTTTTGTTGTCATTTGATAGCTTCATTTTCATCAGATTTGTAGCTAAATTACTACCATATTTGCTGTCAAATTACAGCTTCATTTGCTGTCAATTTCCAGCCTCATTGTTGCCATTTCATAGCAGTTTCATTTCATCATTTTTTCATATTTGAATGCCACATTTCTAACAATAATTCCAACAGTTTCATATATATATTTTCTTCTTTCTTTCTTTCTTTTCAGGAAACAAGACCGTCACTGTTCCTCTCACTAGCAAGAGGGAAATAGCTCTAAGCATCTACCATACTAGACTAAAATTCAACGTAAATTGTCTTCTAAAGGTTGAAATATTTAGGAATTTGGAATGAAGAGAATGAGTAGATGCATGGGTTGAGAAATTGATTTTAATGTTGACTAAATGTACTCCAAGAGGGGGGGTGAATTGGAGTTCCAAAAATTCTCCCCTTTTTGCAACCACAAAACCAAAATTAAAGAGAGTAGAGAAGAAGAGCTTGCTCAATGATTTATAGAGGTTCGGTCCAACCACTTAGAGCCTAGTCTTCTACCTTGGCTTCACTCACCAAGGATTTCCTCCACACTCTCCACTAACAACAACAAGGGTGGCTTAAATGAGCCACTCAATCCTTTTACAAAAAAATGAGTATTTCTCTCAAACCTCACCCCTTTATAATGTAAACCCCACGAATCCTCTCAATAAATCACTCTTGAAGGAATAATCACACCCCCAAAATCACTCACAAATAGAACAAGAAGAGGATTACATGTAAAGATCTCTCAAAGATCAAAAACTCAAGTTAAAGCTCATGTAGGTAGGTAAAGATATTCAATACAATGCTCTCTTAACCTACTTCATATCTTTTACCAACCATATTTATAACCCCATGGTCGAAAATAGTCGTTACTAGCCGTTGGGGGTCATTTAATGCTCTGCAGGACGCAAAGCTTGAGTTGCAGGATTGTCAGGAAAGCTGGCTTAACTTCCTAGAGCTGGCTCTGCACAACCGACTTACACTTCTAGAGCTGGCTATCCAGGTTTGTAGCCCATTCTGTTTTTCTCGAGAGCCGGCTGCAAAACTTTGAGCTGACTTTGGAACTCCAACTTTAAATACATTAAATATTCTTCAAATAAATCGACTGTTGTGCATTAAATGCGCCCTCATAGCCGCCTACAAAGTGGGAGACGGCTCTGCTTCCATTTCCCGCGTGCGCCAAAATAGCAGTTGAATTTCTGGCCTGTAGAGCTGGCTCAACAAAATCTGCAGCTGGCTCTCTACATTTTTGCTTCCCAGAGCCGGCTACAATTTTCTTAAGCCGTCTTTTTGCGTATTTTTACCCTTTGAGCCCTTTTTTAATGCAATCTCATTTTACTTACTTTGCAGTATATTGGCAATTTAACTACACACTTAAATAAATCAATTAGTCATTCAAATGTGTTTTGCAATCATGAAAATCATAAGTACAACAATCTCCCCCTTTTTGATGATGACAAAACACTTTGATCATAAAAGCATATATACTTCAATATTAACCTCAAAATTTCAACACCAAGAAAATGACATTAAGACATTCTAGAAAATTATGAGAATTCAGCATACTTTCTTCCCCTTTTTGTCATTCATCAAAAAGTATATAAACATAAGCAATAAACTCCCCCTTAATTCATGCTATCAACCTTTAAAGCATCAACAATATGTAATGAATATAATCATCAATCATCATCAATATAGCACCATAGACAACCAAAGTCATGAATACAATCATCAACCAATAAACTCCCCCTCAATAAAAGCATATAATCATCAAAATCATAGACAATCAATACCAAAAGTCATGCCAATATCAACACAAGTTATACCACAAAGATTATATCATACCAAAGTCAAGTGCCATGAGAATTCATAATATATGATAAAAGGTTCAAGATAAAGAAAAACATAAATAAACTTAACATGCATAAGCCTAAGATGTCCATCCTAAAAATTAGCCAATACTAAAGAAATATCAAGTTAGGTGGCACTAGGTGAGGGTGGAGGAAAAAAATGGTTAACAAGCTGATCAAGCTTTCCATCCATGGTATCCATTCTCCCTCTCTTTCTTTCCAGAAACCATAGAAGTTGGTGTGCAGCTGCCGCATCTCAAATATCATTAGCTCCATGGTTTCGCGATTTGTCCTTTGCATGGAGGCTTGAAAGGGTCTTGGGCTATCACCTCCACGTTCTTCTTCCCCCTGTTCTGCCATTTCTTGATCCGCATCATCTTCTTCTTCATCACTTTGCTGTTCCATTGCTTGATGCCCTTGCTTCCTCCAACTACCATTCCGAAACTCATATTGCATTTTCTCAAAGGATGCTTTAGAGAGAGTAGTTCCAGCTTTAATTATCCCATGCTTAAAAGATTCAAGATCAATGTTGTTCCTTTTTACTAGCCTAGTAATCAATGCACCATGCGGAAGACCCATATCAGAGGAGTAATTCTTGATTAAGCTCCGGAAAATGAATCTTCCAAGATTCACCCTTTTTCCGTTAAGAAGATAGTTGAACCAGGGAAGATCACTAGCAAATACAAAAGATTTTGACCCCTTTCTTTGAGCAATAATGCGAGATACAATCCACTGTAGTGCTCTATTTTCTGGTGCAAAGGACCCCACTTTAATTTGATTTTCGGTACAATTAGGGGCAATTCTGGCTCTAACTAAGGCATGACTTACATCCTAAAACTCATCATCTCCTCTTTCAGGTATATCTAATACAGCACAAATATCCCTTGGTGAAAACTGAAATGACACCCCAACAACCATGGTTTTGCATTTATTCCCTTTTGGTTTCAAATTAGCATAAAATTGATGAACAACTTCATAGTACACCGGCTCTTTAATTTCTACATAATCCTTCCACCCAAGTTCCCTAAAAATTTCTTCTACATGCATATTCCCTTGAGGAAACTAACTAAACTTCACATTGTTGCATGGTAACACAGCCAAATTTTTGACAAAATTGTACTGATTGAAGGCATTATCATCCCAAAATAGAGAGGTATTATAAAGGATACCTTCCTCTTGAGCTTGTCCTCCAGCACTAGAACTTCCAATCTGTTTCCTTTTGCTTCCGCCCCTTCTTGAAGCCATGAGAGAGAAAACACAACAACCACACCAAAAACACAGTAGATCCCACACAAAAATTGAAGTGAAAAGCTTGAGGTTTTGTGTTGGGTAGGCAAGGATTTGATGGTATTTGAGTGTTTAAGGGATGGGCTTTAGAGATTTGGAGGGATTTTGGTGTTTGGGAGAGAAAAATGACAGATCTGGTTCGAAGAGAGAGAAGCCCGAATGATTTAAAAAGTTGCAGGAGAGCCGGCTTTGGTCCTGGAGCCGGCTCAATCTTAGAGAGAGAAAACTCTCGGGTTTTTGGGTTGAGCCGACTATGAAAATGGTTGAGCCGGCTCTACTGGCCTTGATTGGGACAAATAGAAAGTTTGGGGCTGTTTTGAAGGGCGTGTATCTAATTTGATATTTCTTCATTTAACCAAGTTTAAATTGAACATCAACTACTAAATTATGCAACTTTAGTCATATATCAATGTATGCATCATCAAATAGCATGAATATAATCAAGGTACACAAATTCTAATAATCAAATTCATTAATTTCAAGAATCATATCAAGTACTAGAAAAGACACATCAAATGGAATCATACTCAATAAGCATATGTATCAAAGAGTGAGTACACATAAACCAATAATTAATAGTCATGCTAATGATTATACTTAATGAACTAGTTTTTGTTTTGC